AAATCGTCAATATATCAATAAGATTTTGCCATTTCTCCGATAATTGTGCTAGTTCCTGGCTGGAGAATTCTCAAAGGTTGTGGATTGCTAACAGCTGACCGGTTTGAATTTACGCTCTACAGTTGACTTTCTAAGCTTGAGCAAAAAAATAGAGTAGAGAGTTCGATCTGCCTATTCAATCTGCTACTGACTGCCAGATTCGCTGTGAAAACTTTTCTTCGCTTGATTATGCGATATGGGCAATTGATTTACAGTTGTACATGAGGAAAGATGTTTTTACAGAGTGAAGCTCGTTTTTTACTTCTTTTTCTCCCCCACCCATGTATCTTCCATACTTCAAGTGTATGCATTTTTTTATTACGCTTCAAGGCTGAGACCATAGACGCCAACGTGTCCATGTTAAAATTCTCTCCTCTAAGAGTTTTTTCATAGTCTGACTTGCATCAACAGAGTGAAGCTCTTTTCTGCCTGTGCTGTTGTCATTCATAATCCTATGTAGATGTATACCTTTTAGATGTCTCAAATTTGTCCTCAAACAACTATTAGTGCTACCAATCTCCCAAATAACAACTTCTCAAAATGTTCCTCATCATCTATTTTTACAAAAATATTTATTTATGTCGATTCTCGTGAAGAACCGTTTTCAATTCGATTGCAACAGCTCGCTACCGATATTAAATTAAAAGATTTTTTAAAATCTCTACCATCTAGCTATTGTCAACAAGGAAAATATAAATATTTTTTCAAATCACACGATCAGCTTTTAGGCATTATTCGCGAAGAAATATCTGATTTGGATCAAGTATTACCATCTTGTCACGGAAGAATAACAGCATGGCTCTTACCGGCTGTAGCAGTAAACGAAACTCAAAATCAAAGTTCAACAGTGGAACAAAGACATCCCACACGAAGACGATATCAGCCACCTCAAGATGATTCGTTATTTACAAGTGGTGACGAATTTGATTCATCACAATCAGAAACAACAGCAACGACACAAGATGAAGACGATGATAGGTAAAGGACGGTAGAAAGCGGGAAATTACTCGCAGTAAAGGAAAAGATTTTTGAAGTTTAACTTTCTATTATTTAGATTTTCGTCAATGACAGAATCAACAGATACGACCGCTTCACCCTCTCTACGCTATTATCGTCGTCAAAATCAACGAAGACGTAGAAGGGAACAAGCTCAACGTAGACATCGAGCAAGTACCTGTAAATATTTCATCGCATAAAGCTGACGTTTTTCTTTTGTTTCAGTCATCTTCATTAAGCAGTTTTACAGATTCAACAATCTCTTTGGATGTTATCACTGTTGTTTTAAATCTTGGTATGTCGTTTAGCGTTTGTGTCTGTTTTACGCTGGCATTCGTTTTTCTTCTTTTTCTTTAGAAAACATCAGTTTCCTTGGAATATCAATAGTTGGACAAATTGATGGATCGACAGATGGTGGGATTTATGTTGGATCAATCATGAAGGGGTAGGAGTCGACCGCTGTCGCCATAAGCTAAATGTTCAGTTTATACTCACTTTTTAGGGGTGCTGTTGCTGCAGATGGTAGGATAGAGCCAGGTGATATGATTTTACAAATGAATGATATTAGTTTTCAAAATATGTCGAATGATGAAGCTGTTAAGATATTAAGGCAAAGTGTACAGAATGCAAAGTAAGTTAATTTGTTTTGTGAGAAGAATTTCTACCACAGACACAGATTGTGTCTGCAGAATTGTTGTATTAAGCGGGAGATGAATATTCGATAGTTAGTAAGAAGAAGAAAACATTTTATCTCTATTTGATAACTAACGGTTTGGTGAGATACGAGTCTCACATCAGCGACTGTAATTTCTCGGTCTTCTAATGAAAATGCTTTACGTTTTTTTGTTCTTTTAGAACTGATGAGTAACGTGAAGTTATTTTTAGCTCACTCAATTGAAGGCATGTAATTGTTTTCTAGGCTATGCCTGCTTATTGCCCGTAAATGACTATTTTTGGCTGCTACGCGCATTTTGTATTAGATTTTAGTCTTACTAGTATCTCTAACTATCGAAATTTGTTTTCTGTATTTAGAACATTGAAGCTTGTTGTTGCCAAATGTTGGAATGAGAATCCGCGTGATTATTTTCACTTACCTCATCCTCAGTCAGATCCCATTCATCGCATCGATCCATTACAATGGCTAACACAAACACAGCAAGCACTCGTTCAACAGAACAACAACAACAACAACAACAAAAGACGATCTGCCTCGCCTCAAATCCCATCAACAAGTACAATAATGAGTTCAACAATATCGTCACCAGCACATCATGGCCAGAAAGAAAGTGAGCTGAGAGAAAAGATTATTCTTGATGGATATGTGATCGTCTGTTTGTCCTTTTTATAGAATTCATTTATGATTTGAATTTAACTCGCACATCTGATATGGAAACAATTGTAAAAGCCATGAAAAAACATAATTCTGGTTTAGACATTAGAGATCGACTATGGCTAAAAATTATCATACCAAAATCGATTGTTGGTATGTAGTGCAAGAGTGTCGTTCTAAGAATATTGTTAAGACTCGTCGATAGTCGTGAAGTGATACAATTTGTGATTGACAAGCTCATTACTCTTATTTTATGAATAAGATTTTTTTGTAGACATTGCGAAGTCCGTCAAAGAAGTATATGTACACTGTCTAGATAGAAAGGCAATAACAGCTGACAGCGTCTACTTCTCCTCACCATCGTTTGCTTATGTTTGCTTGTGTTGTAGGCTCTGATTTAGTCGAATGGTTATTTAAATATGTTGACGGTTTTATTGATAAAAACGATGCAAAAGATTATGCTTGCTTAATGTTGGAACGTGGCTATATTCGTCATATTGTTAATCAAACGAAATTCAGTAAATCATGTTATTATATATTTGGCGATTTATGTCAAGGTTTGTATTAACTCTTCTTTTCTCTGCTCAGTTTAGTATTTTCTATGTCATGTTTAGATATGACTCAGTTGACAATGTCAGATAATTATGAATCGTTGTGTGAATTAGACACAGATGATGATGTGAAACAGTCGACAACAATCTATGGATATCTCGACAAACACAATTTACCACTGTACTCGTCGAATTCTTCATTGACAGGAAAATATAAAGCAAAAGCACACCAATCAAGTAAGAATAAGAAGATGTGCAGATTTGAGCTAGGATGCTATCTTGGGTTATATACTTTTGAACTACTTGATCTATTTTAGATGATAATTCACGTGGAAAACCGTCAACAACAACAACCTCTTCATCATTATCATATGCTCGTTATCAACCTCAATCGTCTCTGGCGTCTTCATTTCTCGGCACAACCACGTTTTCGTCAATTCGAAATAATTCTCTATTAACTTCACCTGCTTCGACGGCACAACCATCGAACGCTTCATCAAAATCAATCATAACGATTTAAGGTCAGATCTCAAAATTAGGAATATTTTCATGTGTTGTTGTTGTTGTTGATCCACGCACACATGTAGTCAGATATTTACGTATGTATTAAACTATCTTTTTGTTTTTACGCATTTTTACTTGAAATTGTAATAATAATTGTACATTCATTCTGTTTATTTTGGTGCATTTATACGTTTTTTTGTTGTTCTTATTGTTTTATACTCAGAAGCATAGAGTAGTGTATTATAATCAATTGGAAGTTGCGTTAAAATAAAAGAGGGTATATTTAAAAGAGATAGAATAGAGTATACTATGAAAGTGACTATTTTGATTCACAATTGAGAGTGGAATTAACATTAACAATTAACATTCATGTCTTTCTAGAAAACTTTGTGTCCGGGTTTGGAAAATTTGTCTGTTGTCATATTCTGGTTTCAGGAAAGCAAAGTGTCACAAGATCAGATTGCGTGTTGTCATTGACGTGGATGTTTCTACCACTTTAATATAAACCCAAAGTCAACAGCACAACTGACACGAGAGAAATCTGGAAATCTTAAAATACATGATCTTACTCGATATTGTAAATTTCATAAATGTTGATTAAAAAAGTCTCAACAACTTTATTCGCCAACATGCTTTTTATTTCATGAAAGCTTCTCTTAGACTAAACTTGGAGGAGATTTCGTGTCAATGATATTCAGAATATTTTAATAATCTATGATGATCGTTTGTACGTCTTGGTAACTTTCTGAAATTTGTGAAAAAATCAAGGTAGTTATTTAGAAGATAAAGTACAGTACAACCAAAACTCTTCATATTGTATAATAAACGTGGTGAAGATAATAGTGATGTGTAATAATCAGAATGTCTTGACATTTCTCATTTCTGTATTGTTAGATTAATCATTATACTGCAATATAGACCACTTTGAGAACAAGGAGACGCAAGATACATCTTGGGATGAACCTCCGTGAAAAATTTGTCTGACTACAAAAACATAACGGAACTCGTCAGAAAATGTTTTTTATGATTTATTTGCTCGCGGGCACTTGCTCATTTATGTGTTCCAATATCCAGAAATCTATGTGTTGAAAATGAAAAATTTGAGAATGTACTAACGAGGAAAAGTCCCCAAGTGTGCAATCGCTTTTTTATCGAAATTTCGTGGATAACAGGTAATCGACTATGTGGAACCCGAATATGACATTCGTTTGGGCTCTTAGGCGTCCAGAGACCGGATTTCTAGAAAACTAGTTTTTCAGAAACTCTAAAAGATAACAAAAGCCTTTCTTAATGAGGCATGATTGTAGCCCGCAAATTTCTGATTAAAATGAGACATCTCCCAACTCTACATGACCTTTTGTAAAGTTATAGAATTTACAAGAAAAGCCCTAAATGAATTTCTTATTTCTGTTGCTTTGAGCTGACAATGAACAATTTAGGGCTTTTCTTGTAAATTCTATAACTTTACAAAAGGTCATGTAGAGTTGGGAGATGTCTCATTTTAATCAGAAATTTGCGGGCTACAATCATGCCACATTAAGAAAGGCTTTTGTTATCTTTTAGAGTTTCTGGAAAACTAGTTTTCTAGAAATCCGGTCTCTGGACGCCTAAGAGCCCAAACGAATGTCATATTCGGGTTCCACATAGTCGATTATCTGTTATCCACGAAATTTCGAACAAAAAGCGATTGCACATTTAGGGACCTTTCCTCGTAAGGGGGTAAAAGAACAAAATGTGATAAACACAGCAACTGTCCACTGGGTTTTAGTGGATCATAAACAGCAGTACATGAATTTTTCACTAAATTTTGGAAACGTTTGTTAAATACTTCATGTTTTTTGATTCTGGTGACTGTTCGGCTTGTCTAATGAAAACTATTTCTCTGTGATCTGTTTCATCACGAATGTAAAATAGTGTTCGACCAAAAGAGCTCGTAGAAATAGATAAGAAAAGAAAAACCTTGTTTTGGAACACGATAACGGGCAGATTACAATGTCACTGCAAAAGAAAGTCACAAGGTGCTCATCCTGTATTCTGGAGAAGTTTAGAATAAAAAACGCGAAAAAGATTCGACTGCTTTTAAGGAAAAACGCACTAACAACCAATAAACTGTTCTCAGCGTCATTTGGGCGCCCGATTTTTTTCTGATTTTCTTTTTGTATCTGTCCAGATATGTCCATTTTGGGCTGTCCGACCACCCCACTTTTGTTTGGATGTCCTTTGTTGATGCACCACAAGATCACTCTCGATTAGTTCCTGTTGTTGATATGAAAGGTTGTTGCGACGTGTTTCTCTGCTGTTGTTGTAAAAAGAAAAAAATTGAACCAATTCGTGAAAATACAATTATTGAATCAAAAAATGCTCAACGTGTTATCACCGTCCACATTCAATATTCAAAATATAGTAACGTCGATTCAGCGTCAAATGCTCGTCTTCTATCGTCCATAGATCTCTGTCGTACGATAATGCAACTGAAAGCACTGAAAATCGACAAGTATCCAAATTCGGAGGATTTGCAAACAATAATTCTTATTTATTTCTGATAGAAATCAAGAATCAGCGATTGTGTGCAATCGACCTCCTCTGCCCTGTTGTGATCTGTGTTTTACTACATACATATAAAAGGACTCTTGTCTTCTCTCTATAAACTGTCAGCAATAGTGTTATCCTATGTGGTTTCCCATTCGGATAACTATCTACTTTTTTGCTCTCAACTAAGTATGACTCCGAAACGTTAACTACATTCATTGAATCACGCGCCAAAATGTTTCGTTATTAGCTATTAAAAGGTCACAAAGTATCGTCTTTGACCGCATAGCTTCGCATTTAAGCTCATCTTTGGGAGAACCCAAGATCTAAAAATGGTTAAGATTTGTGTGAAGTCATACTGCTTGTTTTCAGCGGTGAAAATTAGTTGCGCGGCCGTCTTTGAGAATTTAAAGACCTTAAAATGTCATTTAGACCCTTTGAATAGTGAAAAACAGATAAAAATGGTAAAATTACATCACGAGATGTAGATAGCAACAGACATATCAATAAAACGTTTCATGATTTCAGTATCGTTTGAGGCTGCTGGTAATCTCATTCGAATGAGAAAGTTTGCTCTATCTGATAATGTGTAACGGTCCGATTAGCTTATGAAACTGACAGTTTCGGCTTGTACTCATGCAAAATCGCGTATGTTGGGATATGTTGACAAATGCTTGACATCTCACAGAAAAACCGTTGAGAGACAAGAAAATTGTGAAATTAGAAATTACAAAAATAAAAGAAAACAGTTATTTTTTTCATTTTTCTTCTTTGGGGGTGTGTGTGTGTGTGTGATCACGATAATTCCCTGTAAATCACACAGATAGACAAAAAGCAACTTTCACTGTCTGCGAGTAGTCAAGCTTGATACTGTACCAAATAGCAAAGTTGTTCAGAATCCTGAACAACTAAATGTGAAATCTAAATGTGAAAATTGAAAGAAAAAGAGTATTTTTAACGACTAATGGGAATATAATGAATAATACAGTATATTTTAAACGTATTTTTCTTCATCAAAATTTGTAGAATAATCGACGACCTTCAACAAGCATTGATCCTAAAATTCTAAAAGAATCATACAGCGAATTTCAAAATCTTCTGGGTACTAGGAGTTTCTCGCCATGACGAGTCTACTGAGATGCTGAGTTTCTTCATTGGTTTGATGGCTATTGAGATTTGGATAGCCATCAATGTTTTGATACTCGTGATCATTATTTTTTATATAAATCAGTGACCATATGGAAGTTAAGATGAAAAGTATTTATGTAAAGACATAATAATATGCTGTACTTGTTCCTAGAAAATCTCGGTACATACCGTATAGGTCAGATTTTGCGTTCAGAAGTCTACCCCAACTGGATCAACATTTTAAAAAATTTATATATCAAAAACGGCATAATATTAATGCATGATTGTATTGCCAAAAGGTAGAGCATTTAAAACTCTATAGACGTAATAGGTTGCCATTGCTTAAATGTTTACGTGAAGGATAATCAGAAAATTTTAGAAAAGTAACGGGTGAACCGTAAAGAACGGTTCAGAATCATTTCCTTTTTTTCGGGCAGTTCTCTATAATTCCGTTTTAAGTTCATTCGCTAGAGAATTTTTCGCTCTACTAGATTGTCGAATTGGATTACTAAACAAAAAATTTCCTCAGTCCTTTGTTTCAGTCTCTTGCCTTATGCATTTTACTATGGATATCCCCTGAAATCTTTTCAAGGTACAATTCTCTCAAGACTTGAGAAATATCAGATAGTTATCATAATTATCCCATATAATTCTAGATGTGTTAAATGAAAGATTCTGAAGAGTAAAAGCACTGATTGAAAGAAGAGCCGAACAAAAGGAAAATTTTCTTTTGCGCTTGATAGGGAGAGTTGATGCGAATCATTTTTCCACTGTAGCATTCGAATAAGAACAGAGTTCGTGAACTGCTAAGTGTTTGTCAAAATTAACGACCTTTGCCTGTATTACTCACTCTCATACATGGGCTCTTTTACAATTCTGTTTAGCGATAAAAACATTTTTCTCCAAATCGTGTCGACTAGGTATAACCGATCATGAAGTGTTTTTTGTGCTAGTGTTTCACTCTTTAGATTTGTGTAATAATAGTCCCTGTCTTTTTTTAATTGATTCAGATTAATCCTTTATGTTCGTTTTTACCATGAAAAGGTTGCTCATACTAGAGTGTACAAAATGTACATTATCGACATCACGGTAAGCAAGCGGCTATTTCTACAGCAACAAAAATGGCGAGAACTCGAGCGCTCATTAATTTCCATTATTAACTCTCTCAAGAATGAAGGTTTAGCATCTGTTAAGAAACATCTAGGAGATTGTCACAGTAAAAGACTTGGATTTTCTTAACTGTTTTAAGTTTTAAAGCTTTTAATAGGGTCTTATATTGCGTCGCAAAAATAAATTTATGTTCTTTTTACATTACAACTTTTAGGTGATGAGGTCGACAGGGTCTTCTGTTTTTGATAA